AGCGCTTCTGTTGCCGCACCACGCACCATTGCTCGTCATACCCGAGTCCATCATTGCAAGCGGTCTCCGTATATGCAGGACCATGATGTCATGCTATGGCCTGCAACAGAGCCCAATATTTGCAAGCCACTGGAGGCTCATCAGCACATATGCCCCATCACACTCACTTTATCGCCACCTAACATGCCAGCCATGGCTCAAATTTGGACTCAATATGTATTCCTGTGAATGCTACCATTCTTGATGTTGTTTAGGTTTCCATTCGGGTTGGAGCTCTTTTATTCCGCTAGATGTCGAACTCATCATGCTTCATTACACTATCCTTATTTACGCTCTCAATATGTTAGATATTTTATTCTGGTGTTACTGATAAAGATTCACCTATTCAACATTACATGTACGCGCATTCTACTACATAAATGTACTACCAACGATTGGTCCTCGAGCGCAAGTCATATATTTGATGCAACCATCCGCGCGTGGACTTGAATACTGCATGACGAGAGTATTAAGGTATGACGTTGATAAGGAATATATATGAACAGGTTTATGAGAAGGATCATGGGGAGACCGTACGATTGACGAGATCTGGAGAGGATTGATGAAAGTTCAACCAATTTCCAGTCCTCAAGCTTAAGTGAATCACGCATGAGTCGCAGAGTGCCAAATTTAGTATCCCATATCATGCTGATTTTGTCAACAACTCGCTTTTAATCGACATCTGTGCCCATTACGCGAGAGCCAGTAACTTGGCCTGCAGCGCTTGTATTTCCTCCACTGCACAGCAGACGCATTTGGACCGACCTTATCCTGAGTACACACAAAAAGCACCCGCGGTGGATCCCAAAAATCTCCATCATTCCTATCCATCTGAAAAGACAAGCCGCCAGATCCACACGATGTGCTCTGCGCATCTCGGCGCGCCTGATCTGTGCCTGTGAATGGACCTTGAGCGCCCGCACAATATCGACGTGTTCATTGGCATACATAAATTTAGCTGGGTTAATCATATCGATCGGAACGATTCCGTTGCAAAGATGGCAAAATCCAGGAGTCAAGATAGCATTATTCATCAAAGGATGGTATGGGTACCGTAGGCTTACTTGCGAAGCTCCTCATCTGTGGCGTCAATGTTTAGTAACTCGTGGTTGAATAGATCCCCGTGATGGAGAGCGGCATCTAGTGAGTCTGGTCGGTTGGTGTTAATGAGGATTACTATTTTGCTTTCGATCTCCTCCTAGGACATGTTTGGGTGAATCGGGTTAGAGGATGATGGCGAAGGGGATGGTATTAACGCTACCATCCGCGCAGAATTATGCGACTATGCATCATTCCATCCCGATGATTTCCCTTTGTTTTGGAGTGATAGCATTGATCTCATCGATGAATAGCAGGCATGGCGCGGCACGCTGGGCGTTGAGATTAAGAAAGATGCATGCATAACACGAGACATAACTTAGCCTTGTCAAATGTATCTTATGCATTTTTTCAGACTCTCAACGCATACTGGACAAGATAGACAGAGCAGATATCATGCTGATGAACAGAATACCCAGTTCCTCCGCGCAATCAGTCAACTTTCATACAATTTGGTAAGTACACTCACTACAGCTATTGCGTTCGCTGGAAGAGTCTTGCCACACCCCGGAGGGTCATGCAGCAAAACACCACGTGGAGGCTGCACACCAGTACTTGTATAGATTGTAGATCCAGATGACAGAGGCATGTCGACAAGCTTGGGCATCATTTCGACGCATGCTTCCACAAGATGGGACAATCGAGTGTGATCTTGGCAATAGCTAGCTTCGATCGGCTTCCAGACTTCCAGTGTTGAACGCGCTGAGCACAATTTTGGTTTCGAGGAAGGGAGACACGGTGTGTTGGTGAGGTTAATTCATTCGTTCCGGATGTTGTGGAACACGGGAGGCACCAATGTCCTGATCCGACTGGATTTCCTAACGCAGGAGTGAGCTTGTATCTTCTGGAGGAGGCGTCTCGGCTGTCGACAGGGCAGAGCAAGAGAACCTGACTTCCACAGGCTTTGCATGAACATGTTCAAAACAGTTGAATGTAACCCTGTTTGATTCAAGTGCACAGCCACTAAAACTTTGCCAAGGCCGTACCGCTGCCCACAACCTTGAACTATTTCATTCTGTTCGTTGTCTGACCAGACACATCTACAGAGGTTCTCGTCTCCAGGCTACCGCAGAGGGAATGTCGATCCAGAAAGCACTGTTGAACGCGAAGAAGAAACGCACCATCGCGACAATGACAAGCCAAGATTGACTCGAGCTCACAGTTGCAGGTGGTGTGAGAAGAGCATTAACATTTTTCTCACAGCGACTGCAGCTGTACAGCGCTGGTAATGCTATTGCAGGCCATTGCGCTTGTAGCGCCTATGCAACGCCAGGGAGGACAATGCACACGAGGAGAAATGACAAAGTCTGTATATCGTTTACTTCGTTAGGCTTATATTCTCTACCCTGCTTCGAGCCCTCTGATGGCTCTTCCTCCTCCCAGAAGGTCTCTGTGAGCTAACGCGATACTCGTGAGAGGACGGTTGCAGGTGCGAAAAGAGATATATGGCGGTGCGCCACTGCGCAAGGGGGATTTGGGGTATTGGGTGAGTCCACTTTACTGCGAGTTTGTTAATAGAGACTTGAAGGGTCATGGAAAGCGCGACCACCTGTCCTCCATTTGCTGCTTCTGAAACACCGTCTCTTGACACCGCCCACTGACAGACGAATCTGTTCCACAAGAACGCCAAAAGCATAGTTTCTTCGCTCGTCGCGCTCACTCAAAGTTGCCCCGGTTTCGCGTGTGCTTACTCTATATCCTTGCTTCATTGTCTGGTACTCATACTGCATTCCTCGCGTTTTTATGTTCTTCACTCTGGGCTCGTGTTATGCATCTATTTGGCATCAGAATCACGGTCTGTTGTAATGCGAACAACTCCAGAAGCAGTAAGCGCACATAGAACAAAGCGGAGCCTGTAGCGGTATGATGATGTCATTTATTTCTGTACACCCGTGACCGAAGATGACGCTAATTAGGGGTTTCACGAAACGGTTCGTCCTTGTCGTCATGCAATGCCGAGCCTTGCGGGTACTGCTGCGAGAGGCTCCATTCGGTCTCAGCTGGAGCGGTCCACATTGACAAGATTCCACGCTCGCTCCTCAATTAGCCAACTATACGTCAACAGCGCCAACCCCCTTCGTCATCGCTACATCATCGATTTATCGTATATAAAGCCCTATCGACGTACTTTCTCTTATCTTCTTAACCATAACACACAATCAATGTCTTACGATCAAGGAAACCAAGGTTCACGTCGTACGTTGGTCTAAACTGTTTACAAATCCCAGACAGACTCACCATCTTTATCATCAGGGAACTTCAACGATGATGACTCAAACTATGAGACCCCTGGCGATGATCAACGCACTGTCCCGGGGGGAGACTCCACACTTTCAGAATCATATGGAGGCAGCGGGTTTGGCCAAGCTGGTGGATACACAGGAAATCAAAGCCGCGTCGGTCGACAAGGTCAGCAGAGCTTAGATCAAAGCGACGAATACTGCGACACAGACCCTGGAATGGCTGGTACTCGCGGCGGTCAGAACACTCAGGGCATGAGTGTCCCTGGAGTTGGCCAAACTGGTGGTGAATACGACAGTGCCAGTGGCCAGAGCATCAGCGGTGATGGCCGTAGCCGCGGGTATGAGCGCGACGTTGATGAGTATGATGACTCTGGCATCGGCAGTGGTCAGGGCGCTGGCGCTGGTAGCGGTCGCGCTCCAGCGGGCAAGTTGTCTTCCATGAGCTCCAAATTGATGGGTTGGTCTTTATTCATCTGACTTTTCAATTATATTCATATTCGTGCATAGGCGGAGTGGAGAAGATGGCTGGCAAACTTACGAAAGACCCCGAACTCGAGGCTAAGGGCGAACAGCGCAAGGTATGTCGTGATCTATTCTTGTACAGAACGGATGGCTTATAGTTTCGTAGAGCGGCTTCTAGGCTACCCCAGATGGAATTGTACTTATATTTGTATCATAAGCGTGCTTAATGAGTTCGAGGAAAAACATGTCCTGCCTGTCTTTGTAAATAATAGACAGTAATTGTATGCTTTGTATCTTCTCTCCAATCGGACCCATTGTACCACACAACAAATCTTCCTCTGGAACAATCAAATCGAGGTACTTGAGGCCATGCGTAGAACATGCCTTCGCGGGCATTTGTTGAGTCATGTATAGTCAGCGGGTGACCTCCTTCGACGCGCTACGACAAGTAAAAGCGTGCCGTATCGCCCTGACAGATAGTATCACATACCGTCCACCAGACAATCATGGCAAATCAGCCAGTGGCAGTCGTACGAGCTCGTGTCAGGGGTCGTTTTCTTTTAGTTTATCATGAGCCATATCGATGGATCTGAGCTTGTGGCGGCAACCAAATATAGCACTTACAATCACTGCAGAGACAATACCAAAGGTGGACCTGATCAGTTAACGATAACGATGAAACCGCTCATTCTATACGATATCCCCTCCCAATTGCCTGGAAGCTACTGGTCTCCAAATACATCAAAGTCCAGGTTAGCACATTTCACTTGAATGCAAAAATGACTTCCTTACCTCCAGCGCCAGGTTCGTCTTAAGCTACAAGGAGCTACCTTTCGAAACTGTCTGGGTCGAGTACCCAGATATTGCAACTGTTCTCAAGGGTCTTGGCTTGTCGCCCAAAAAGAGATCCGATGGTTCAGACATATACACCGTCCCCGTCCTCAGCGACCCCAACACCGGTGCTCTAATCGACGAATCCCTCGAGATCGCAGCATATCTCGAGAAAACATATACCACAAAGCCCATCTTCCCGTACGGCTCCGAAATGCTCGTTCGCGTGTTCGATTCTGCATATCTCGACAACGCACACCCCATCGTGAGGTTGATATATGTGCGCGTTGCGGAGATTCTGAACCCCGCAAGCGTGGAATTTTTCCGTCGGACGCGCTCGGAGAGGTTACAACTTCCGTGGGAGGAGTTTTCGCCTGAAGGCCCGAAACGTGATGGAGATTGGGCATATCTTGAGCAGGGTTTTAATAAGGGAGAAACGTTACGCGAGAAGAGTACCGGGGAGTGGGTTATGGGAGATACGTTCTCGTATGCGGACATCATCATGGCAAGTCGGTTGTTTTGGTACAAGTGTGTCTTGAAGGAGGATGAGTGGGCCAGGATCAGCTCTTGGAATGGAGGAAGATGGGCAAAGGTGCTGGATAAGGTTCAGCAGGAATGTCACCTTGCGTGATAGTATGGAATGCCATCTTTCCAATTTCTGTCCTTTGCAGAGTGATACTCTATGTAGGACAATACAATCTATGCCAGTAATTTAAAGATCCCAAAGTTATAAATACCGGAATCACGTACCAAGTGCTGCAGCTGCCAATTAATGCAACTCATTATCCCGTACCGTAAACATACCAAGCAATCTTCCCGAGAAGAGATGGGTGCCCAACCCATCAGAGACGACGTGCCGCGATACCTGGTGGGCCGCCGACTCACATAGCCTAGTACGCCGTCGCGCTGATTCTGCCTGGGTCATAAAGGCCTTCCACATAAAGTTACCTGGGTGGAGTTTTATGATAACAATGAAATGCAGGGAAGATGTAGCTCCCGAAGGAAATATACAACAGATCATTTTGGCTGCGCTCAAGAAGGGCCTTGGTGGGGTGAAGGTGGTATCTAAAGAGCGGAGGAAAGGGGACATATCCTCGTTCGCAGACATTGTCGTGGTTTCTTCGGTGGCTCATTGGAGCAGGGTGGAGCGCTGTTTTGAACGAAAAAGAACGCCAGGAGATCCATGTCTTGCATGGTAGAAGATAGGCACGTCGTTTGGCGGATGTGAACTCCGGTGTAACACTGATTCTGCTTTGAGAAACATAACCGTTCCATATAATTTTCATAGATTCCCTAATCAAAAAAATAGCTGTGTTAGATGTTTCTCCGGAATTCAGAATCTCAGATCGTAAGAAACTTGACAGGTTTTCACCTGCGAGTGGAGGGGTATGTTTATGTGGTTCGAACTTCTCAGGATACCCAGCAGCCGCACAAAACATTCAAAAGAGCGCGATAGCAGTAGTTTCTGGAAACACATAACCTGAGGGCCGCGATGTGTATGTTCAGAAAACCTCAGGCAGTGACAATGAAGTACGACTACCAGCTCACGGGAGAACGTCATCTCCGGAAAGTATAGGAGATCAACAGATCTAGCAAAAGGTCGTGAGATCATCCTCTAACATCGTAGCGCGTGAGGCGGCATATTACATAATTCTCGAGCCTTGGTTTGTACTTCAAGTTGGCCGAGCTTGTAATGATGACGTTCGATCAGAGCTGGCGTGTTCATCCCCGAAGAAATTGACCTGACCTTTGGAGCAAATGGCACACTGCTACACGCAGCTGCGCAGGCATCAGGATATCATATGCGAGAAAAGAGAGTAACTTGTGTCATGGAATACTGCGTTAATTGCTGGAGCGTGCCACCGAACCCACCTGCTTTTTAGCTGTAAGCTCTGGACGTTGTGATGGGTAGGATGACGAATTCAAGCGTTATTGTTAAGCGCACGTCCAAGAGCCAGACTGAAGGTACCAGAGAATTAAAAGGTTTGTCATTGAATAGATATAATCGAACTTAATGTAGGGCGATATGAGTCTTCGTAAATAACAGTGTTGGAATCGCGAGAATCGTTATAAATGCACGCACCTTTGCAAGTTTTTGCCCTTCAGATAAAACTAACGAGGCAAAAGTCGTAAAAGCATTTAGAGTGCGGATGATCTCCCTGTGTGGTGAAAACAGACCTCCTGACAATACAGAGATGGAACGATCCCGGCGCATTGACACCAAGAACATCGACAACATCCGACAAGCTCTTGAACTGCTGGATGACTTGGAATGCTGGCGATGACAGTAATTCTGGGAAAAGATATTCTCATTGGCCGTGGGGCAGGATCAGCACCTGGAATGGGAAATGGGCGAAGGTGATGGATAAGGTTAAGCAGAAGTGCCAAGGACTTTCACGTTGTGCGATATGAAATGGTATGAAGACGACAGCTTTCATGGGTCAGTGGACCGGTTACCTGAGATACACAAAGCTTCGTGACGACCCAAGGTTATAAATACTAGAATCACATACCAATTACAGCTAGGTGCAGTCACTATCAGTGCAACCCATCATCCTGTACGACACACCATGCAAGCTTCCCAAGAAGCAATGGGCGCCCAACCCGTCCAAGACGAGGTACTGTGGGCATATCGCAAAACCTGATGGCTAACTCACATGTTCGTTAGATTCTGTCTTAGACATAAAGGTCTTCCTAATAAAGTTAGCTGGGTGGAGTTTTGTGACATTGCCGCAACTATGAAAAGTCTCGGCGCGTCTCCAACAGCTGGCGTCGTTCTCCAATGGTGATGGGCCAGAGGCCTGGCTCATTTACAACATGAGAAATGTGTACAATCTGTGACCAATTGAACATACCACGGAGAGTAACCTAGACCATATATCTTCACGACTCCTGAGATAAAGCTGGTCAAAATATGATGGAGTTGAAAATCGTCCACCTCTAGGATCGATAGTGACTCACATCCTGCCGACGTGTAGCATATTCTATCAGCATAGCCCAAAGTCAAAAAGGATGAAAAAACTAACGTCCTATTGATGGCTCAGCGATGTCGTTCGCGAGCAAGGTTCTAGGATTAAACACTCACACCTTATCATAAGGGATGTGCAATTTCAGTGGTAATACTGCAAGTAAGACTCAACGAGCTCGACGGAGGATCAGCACACTGGCTCTCAGAACGATGTTCCTGTCTCAGATGCCGAAAGTGAAGCAGACTCCGAGTCAACGACATGACTCGGTTTGCCATCCTCGGTTGCACTGGAAGAGCCAACGACCGAAGGAATGTCCATTGATGAGGCTTCAGCGAAGCCGAGAGGTTACATCATTTTCCGAATCCTGACTGCCAGATTTACTCTGTCCTCAGCTTGCGTGCATTCATCTGGCCTCTAGGCTCCGGTCTCACTAACATTTTTTGTTTGGTGGTGGAGCCCGACAGTTTTGGTCAGTCTGTCGACAATCTAGGTTGACACGTCCGCACCTCAGGATATATCTTATGTTTCTGAGACGACGCTCACGGGGCGTGAAGGTGAAAAAAATGTTGTCAGCACGTTTCGAACGAACTCCAAGATAAACAGATTTTAACTCTGTTATGGTAACCACTCGGCTAAGACCAATTAGATAGAGGTCCGAGGAAACCATCCATGAGTCGATGTCAAGGTGTGTTCCGATATAAAAAACCTCTCGTTCGGTAGGTTTCGAACCTGCACAGACGAAGAGAAACAAATTTTGATTCTGTTGTGTTT